CACCAACGCTGTTTCTCCTGCATATCAATGATATGTTGCTAACTGGTACCATTCATTGCTATACGGATGACAGCACTGGTGATGCCTTATATACCGGCCGTGCCAATATTTCTCGGGAAAACGTCGCCGAGTACCGGGACAAATTTGTGTCTGAAGTTGAGTCTTTGCTTAACAAAGTCTCGGATTGGGGGCGACTAAATCTAGTCCAGTTCAATCCCCAGAAGACACAAGTTTGCGTGTTTACCGCTAAAATGAACCCCTTTGTCGCATCTCCTCAGTTTCAAGGCACTCCACTTGCTACTTCAGCTAGTATTTGAATCCTTGGCGTCGACGTATCGAATAGTGTGCAGTTTTGTGGTCACTTGGAAGGGAAGGCCAAATTGGCCTCTTAAAGGCTTGGCGTGCTCAGCAGAGCGAGACAGTATTTCATGCCGGCACATCGCTTGCAACTTTACAAAGCGCAAGTTCAGCCCCACATGAAATACTGTTCTCATCTCTGCGCCAGGACACCCCAGTGCTAGCTCCTTCCACTTGACCGCATCAGCGCAGAGTAGTTCGAATCGTCGACGACCGAGTTCTTTCTGATCGGCTCGATACACTGGCACTGCGTAGAGATGTTGCATCTCTTTGCGTATTTATCGCATCTATCACGGGGAGTGCTCTGAGGAATTGTTCGGACTAATTCCAGTCGCACAATTTCACCATCGCACATCGCGACAAAACTTGCGTTACCATCCATACCATCTGGATGATTAGCGTTCCAACACTGTGCAATTTAGAAGATGTTTTCTCCCTCGCACAACTTCCTTGTATAATCAATTACCACCAGCAAATTTTCCGCACCGATACGACTTAGGAAACTTCAAGGAAAGAGCTTACACCTTTCTAAAAGGCCGGCAACGCATCTGCAATTCTCCTGGTGTTGTGGTTGTTAATGGGCGGCGCCAGTCACTTACCATCAGGTGAGCCGCATGCTCGTTTGCCCCCTCTACTATAAAAAAATAGTAGTAAAGTGTGTAAAGTAATAGGAACAAAAATTACGTTTGAGTATGCGTGTGAATATATGTGTGAATATGCGTTTAAAGCGTATATAAGCGTAAAAAAGTCCGCCATATGTACGATTTAATTTTTTTCGCATAAAAGTTTGTATGAATAAAATAAAAAAATTATCATGTCAATGTGTATTATATAAATATCTAAGTAAATATAAATATCTAAAGCCAACATAGCCGACTACGAAAAGAAGATACAATGTCGTATTTACGAAGACGATAAATCTGATGCAGTTGTTAAGGAGACAATCCAGTGTGTTAAAATGATGTTGAGACAGGCCTGGGCACCAATCAATAATCGGCAGAATAAGTGACTGAACAAGAAAGATCTTAGTATTGGTGAGGAGACATTTATTAAGCGATATAAAGATCGCAAATTTCCAGTTATTTTAGACACTCCTGAATATGCTTGGTCCATGTTGTGCAACTATCGACATACAGACCGAGATTATTTACATAGGGAGAGAATGGTATGGCATTATTATAAAACATTATTGAAGGTAGGGTGGAAATATCAAATTAAGATAAGAATCTTGAGCTACCTAAAATTATCGTTTGGCATTTAGAGGGGTTCATATTTAAAACAATACACAGTAGACCATTCTTAGATGTAGTCGTCCATTAATAATGAAATTGGATTAATGATATTTAAGGGTTCTACTTGGGCATATAACTGCAGATTATTGGCATACAAATGGTATAATCACTTGTGATTTAATGTGATGGGATTGATAAAAAGACAGAAGAGGAGAGTCAATACCGCATTGAGGGACGCCATTTGACACATCACTCCATTCAGATTAAATCCGGTACACACGGTCTGTTGCCTTCCTCGAAAATATGACGAGAACCATTCCTGAACTTTAGAGGAGGTATTAAATAAGAAAAGAGAGCTAACAAGATATGATGGTCAACAGAATTAAATGCGTTACAAAAATATATTAAGGTAAAAATGATCAGTTTTTGATATTTTTCACGGATATGCTTAACAAGAGCAGTAGTTGTAGAATGGCCAGGGTGGAAACCGGATTGATAAGGGGAGAGAATATTATTTGATGGTTTATAATAATTAATTCGTTTGCACGAATTAATTACCAAAGTGTCAAGGGTGAGCTAGTAATGGTATACGACAATTGCACCGTACCACGCCAGACCCAAGAATTCCTTAACGGTGGCCGCTCCGTCCGTTTTATACAAGCAAACCACCACTGTCACCGCAGGCGCAGGTGTGCGGTGTACGTGTTGTTTACAAGAATACTGTCTAACTACACCGGCGCCACCGCACATGCAATGGCACAGACGCCGTCACGGCCATGCTGATGTGCGTGCGTCCTCGCTCGCGCTCCATCACAATCTCAGTTATCTGTAGACAGAAAAACATCCTTCGATTATGCTGACAAAACATCGTCTGGTATGGTCTACATTGACCCCTCAGACTTGTGCGACAATCAGTATTGGTCCAGCGGTAAGCCCTACAAAACTATAATCATCTTTATGCTAGATTGAAACGATTAGTCTGTATCCATACCATTGGATCGTCACAAACCCTGCAATCATTTCTCCCTTTTTTATAGAATAATTATTTTTTCTATTCACCCTTTTTTCAAGTACTGTTTATACCAGTTCGGAATCACTATTTCCTGTAGCCATATCATTGGATCGGCACAAACCCTGCAACGATAGTAAGAACCATTTTTTTTCTTACTCCATTTTTTTCAATTCAGTATAGAGCAATTACATGGGTGTAAGGGGCTCCGCTAAGATCATGGAGCCCAAGCCAACCCCGCCTGCACGTGGCGCACCTGCTGAACAACGGAAAGGGCTCTGGCGATGCCACTCCTCTGGGATTTGTCCTAGTAGTTCGGGGGTCAGACGGCAGTCGCCCCGGTAATTGGCACTAAGCCACTCAAAAATGGAAAGAAAAAGAAAGAGATATATGTTTAGGACTAGGGCGTCGCCGCATAACGACGCGTATGGGGATCGCCTTAACCCTGCGATAAGTATGCGAGGGCTACCGGGCCCCGTGCGAGCCCGGTTAAAGACGTTAGTACCAACTACGAAGATTCGCTTTGCAAACTGGAACATTGGCACGCTTACGGGACGTTCCGCAGTACTTGCGGCCATACTTGCCAGGCGTAAATTGGCAGTGGCATTCCTGCAGGAGACACGGTGGAAGGCCAACAGGAGCCGGAATATTGGGCACGGCTACAAGCTGATCTATACAGACTCGTCTGGTGGGGAGAACGGTGTGGCAGTGTTGCTTGCCGAGCATTTCCACGATAGCGTCTTGGAAGTTAGACGCATATGCGACCGACTTATGGTAGTAAGGTTGCTTATTGAGGTGGTCGTGACCCACTTAATAAGTGCCTACGCCCCACAGGTCAGCTGCAGCGACGTGGATAAGACATTGTTTTGGGATCGGCTCGGAGATGTACTACGCGGCATACCGTTGTCTCACGATGTCGTTTTGGGTGGCGACCTGAACGTTCATGTGGGCGAGGTACAGGGGGAGTATGAACATGTCCACGGCGGATATGGTTACGCAGAGTAAACGCAGAGGGGGAAACCATTCTCAGAACCTGCACTGCAGCCAACATAGCCGTGGTGAACACGTTCTTCAAAAAGAAAACCGAGCACCTGATTACCTACAGAAGCGGTGAGAACGCCACTCAAATCGACTATCTACTGACCAGGAGAAGTCATATCAGTCGCGTGGCCAACTGTAAGGTCATACCCGGTGAGTGTCTCACTGCCCAACACCGACTTCTTGCCATGGACCTCTGCATAAAACCCCGTCGCAGACATGCCGAACGTTGCCGCCGTCAAATGAAGTGGTGGCTGCTGGATCAAACCAGATACTCAGAGTTTGACTCTGCCGCTGGGGATATTAGTCTCGACACAGCAGGCAAGTCCGTCCAAGAGTGCTGGAAAACCATTCAGACAACAATCACAAAGACGGCAAAGCAAGTTCTCGGCGTGGCGAAAGGGGGCCGCAAAATCGACAAGGAGACCTGGTGGTGGGACACCATAGTCCAGGCTTCATTACGGAAAAAGAAAGCGCTCTTCAAGACGTGGCAAGCGACCAAATCTCCTGAAGATCGCGCATCTTACAGGACAGCGAAAAGAGCTGCCAAGAAAGCTGTAGGCAGAGCCAGGCGTGACCACTTGCAACCATTATATGCTAAGTTGGACACTCCTGAGGGGCACAAGCTTATATATAATCTGGCGCGCTCTAGGGCCAAAGCAGCGCAAGATATTACTCGCTGCTGTAGCGTCAACGACCCTAATGGCGAACTCCTGTACGATGATCGTGCGTTGAAGGAGAGATGGCGCTCTTATTTCCACGTTTTGCTGAATACTCAGCACCGGGAAGTGCACACTCCCGAACAACTCCCGAACCATGGACTCGTGCCACCGATTACACCTAACGAGGTCCTCGCATCTTTTCGTCACATGGATAATCGGAAAGCTGTCGGATCGGACGAGGTGCCAATTGAAGCGTGGAAAGCGCTGGAGGCTTGTGGTGTGTGCATTCTTACTAACCTTTATAATAGAATCCTGAGCGACCGAGTAATGCCCGTTCAGTGGCGGCTTAGTATAATAACGCCGGTCCACAAGGGTTAAGGGTCCGTTCAGGATTGCGGTAATTACCGCGGTATAAAGGTGATGTCACACACCATGAAGCTCTTCGAGCGCATTATTGACACCAGGATCTGACAGGAGTGTACTGTGTCGGACTCCTAGTACGGTTTCCAACCAGGACGCGGTACCATGGACCCTATATTCGCCCTAAGGATCCTCATGGAGAAGCACAGGGAAAAGAATATGACCCTGCATTTTTTATTCCTAGACTTGCAGAAGGCCTTTGACTGTGTTCCCAGGGAGATGATCTGGTGAGCGTTGCGGTCGAAGTTGGTACCAGAAACCTACGTGGAAATCGTACGTGACATGTACCGCAACTCGGATTCAATAGTCAGGATCGCTGTTGGTGATACCACCCCCTTCCCCATAACCGTAGGCGTGCATCAGGGTTCCGTTTTAAGCCCCTATCTCTTCAGTGTGATATTAGACGAACTGTCAACCAGCGTACAGAAACTACCGCAGCCTTGGCTGCTTATGTACGCTGATGATATCGCACTAGTAGATGGAGATAAAGGACGGCTCACCAGACGCGTGCACGCATGGAGGGAAGCGCTAGAGAACGGCGGGCTGAAGCTAAACGTGGCGAAGACGGAGTATATGGCCTGCAACAGCATAGATCTGACGTCTCTCCGTATAGGCGACGACACCGTCGAGCGCACGGACAACTTCAGGTACCTCGGATCTGTGCTTGATGCGTCAGGGGACATCGGTCGCGACATCAAGGCCCGTATATCAGGCTTGGGCAAAACGGCGCGAGGTGACGGGTGTCATTTGTGACCCCAAAATGCCGGTCAAGCTGAAGGAACAGGTCTATAAGACCATCATAAGGCCTGTCCTTACGTACGGCAGTAAGGCGTGGCCGGTGCTGGAGCGACACCGGCAGTTGTTGCATGTCACGGAGATGAACATGCTGCGGTGGATGTGTGGCGTCACGCGGAAAGACCGTGTACGGAATACATACATCCGCGGTAGCCTTCATGTCCGTGACATTGCTGACAAGCTGCAGGAAAATCGCCTCCGGTGATACGGCCACGTCTTACGACGACCGGCAAGCTACGTGGGAAACAAATGCCTGGACATGACTCTACCTGGTACCAGGAGTAGAGGGCGGCCCAAGTAATGCTGGCTTGATGTCATGCAGGATGACATGCGCGCCAATGGGCTAGTTGTGAGGGACGCCGAAGACCGGGCAAAGTGGAGAAGGAAGTGTAGGAAAGCGGACCCTGGGTTCTCCCGCACTGGGTGGGATGAGCAACCGGGATAAATGCTAGGTAGAAGAGTATAGAGCAATTACAGTTCGATCATACCGCAAACATGTCCCTGTCAGAATCACACAGTAGTGTAACGTGAGGGACATTGTGACATGATAACAACAAAGTATGCGAACCAACAGCAACACTACATATCCCAGTGCAACACAGACCAGCCTTCCAGAAACACCATCTTCCTTTCCTGCAGTATAAGAATTACTCCGTTAGAGTGATGCAACCTCGCTTTATTTTCTAGACGCGCCTCCTCCGACCGTCGTCGTGTGTCTGGCAATAAACAGCATATAGTCTATCAGTTATGACCACCTGCAAACAGATATTAACACTTGTTAAAAAAATATTACAATGTTCGACCATTCCAGATTTCATTTAGGTCGTAGATGCACCAAAACGGCCAGCTCCAGACAAACACGCTCCAGCGTGCGGTTCCGCTACGTTCGCGCCACACTCGCACCAGCGAGCCGTCGCACCGTACTGGCGCCAGCGGATTGTCGCCTTGCACTCACGCCAGCTAGCTGTGTCTAGCCTTCAACATTGTTGGCATAGTCACCAACTTTGCATACCTCACAGCGGACGCATACGCTTGAACTTGGAATATATTCGTGTTCGACTCATTACCTGTTGCCGTTAGAGTATCGAGGTTAGTGATTACAATATTATCGCTAGAGTTGTATCTTACTTATGGCTGGCTCTTAATTATGACCAATCTCCTTTCCATTAAATACCGTAAAAACATCCTCCTCAGAGATAATTGCCGCCGCGACCTTTACCAATTCCCTAACATCTAACCCCAACCCCGTCGACCACATCACATTCGGAGTAAGCTGCAACACTAGTCAACACGTTAGAACACAAAACTGCTACTTATTATTTTCAATTCATAGCACGTTAAAGTTAATCCTTTATTTTGGTACATCGCTTAAACGTTCGAACTTCAAAATGTAGCCTATGTAAATCATATTTCGCATGAACTGTCAAATTATAACATAACTCGAACAAGTTAAGTTTTCACTGAATGCTAATTAAAACTCACTTAGAAAGTCTCCAACATTTGTTAATATTTATTTAGGTATGTTAAGAAATAATGAAAGTCCTTTCGGGTAATTTTATTATAAATCAAACAAAAGGATTAACTTTTGGCTTAAAATATTTCACTTTAATTATTTTTCTCTACATTTTAATGATACGACAATATCGTAAGTAGGACAGCAAATTTCATTACGGAATTTAACATAAAAACAGAGTCATCAATTCGAAATGCATTATAGTCTCTCATAAATGTGATAATCCTCATACTATTCGAAGATTGGGGGCAATAACGTTGACTTTATCGCACTTCTGATGTAGAAATGATCATTAGAGTACAGAGAACTTAAATGAAAGCCTTATTCCCACATCTAATGAAGGATGAAATAATTATGTATAATGTCACATGAAAAGGCTTTTAGAATAGAATAGAATCACTTTTATTCAATATTACTAGTTATTAATAATACTACTTCCACCGGTTCGGATAAAACCTCCATCCTGGGAAGAACCAGCAAGAAACCTAGTGGAACTTTTCTTTTAAATAAGGTTAATTTGCAATATATTACTTAATACAAACTATAAATTGGACTGAGATTAATTTTATATTTGAGAATAATAATTAATTTGCTTGCACTAATAAATTATCCAAAGTGTCAAGGATCAGCTAGTAACGGAATACGACAAGTAAACCGTTCCATACCAGAGACAAGACACCCTTAATGGCGGCCGCTTCGTCCGTTTTATTCAAGAAAACCACCACTGCCACCGCAGGAAAAATGGCACAGGTGTGCGGTGTACGTGTTGTTTACAAGAATACTGTCTAACTACACCGGCGCCGCCGCACATGCAAAGGGGCAGGCGCCGTCATATATTTTTATGGTGTTTAACCGTGAAGTCAAAGCTTTGAAAGAAAAAAGTTTTGAGTACAGTATGTTACCAGAATATTATTTTGTTATCGATATTGAATCAAACCTACTTAATTTAATAATAACTATAAATAATATTTATTTTTAATATGTACTCGTATATGTTGTCAACATCGCGGCAATAGAGTGAAGTTGCCGCGTAAGGTTAAAAAGTTGGCCACAACACGGTAGGCGAGTGAAGTTGCTGACTCTGGGGCAGCAAGAAATAAACCAAGGAGATACACTGTCGCTTGAACTACCGAACGCACTAGTAGCCTCAAGTCCCGCAAAGGACATAATTATTGTATAATACTTATTCTATTAAATAGTTATACTATACGTACATCAGTGTCTAATTGTCTACCTAAGTAAAATATAAAGTTTACATCAGAAGTGCGATTAGAAACAATAAAAAATGGGTAGGAAACGGAAATATAGCAGTAAGCACAAGCAAAGGAAAACACGTGTTAGATCATCATCCAGCAGCAACAGTTTCACCAACACCAGCAGCAGCAGTGGCTCGAAAATATCACCGCTGCCTTCCCAGCCCCGAAAGAAAATAAAGGTATCAAATGAAAACTCCACCGAAACTGTAAGTACAAGCCTTCTTCTCTTGATCCTATAGTACAATCCGTTATCAAGCATTAAACTATCTCAAAGGATCGGCTAAAGTTAGGTACGAATCGCTGTTGCGTAGTGATAATTCCTGGACAACTTGGGCGTGCAAAGATTGATTAAAAATTTTAGTAAAATTTAAGCTAACAAGTAATATCGCACCATCATTTCGAAACCGTTACTATACAAAAAAAACTAAAGGAGATGTATGAAATTGGGTTGTTGACATCGTTCGTAACAGTTATACAAAAATATGAAGGTAATATAACGGTAACTTATAAGCATAAATAAATGATTTTTATTTCTGTAGTCCTTGGGACAATCATAAAAACATTTTTTTAAACTAAAATAGAAAGCTAATGCTTTTGCTTCAGCAAAAACGAAACGTTTTTAAATATTGTTCTGTTCTGTCTATGGCAATAGATAATGAAGGCTATTTTTATAATATATAATAAAATCTTCCTTACCAAAAAAAGAAAATCATATTATTGAAACATTGACGCGAATCTAAAGTTATTAATATTGAATAAAATAATATATTTCGAAAACGATTGAATAGGCTATGTCATTAAATCAAAATTATTTGAATATTATTCTACACGACTGAATAGGCTGTATGGTTATTGATCATTGCATATTCCGACGGAGACTTAACTATTTTTTGGATAGCTTTCGTGTTTTTACTTCGTGGATTTATTTAACTTGACTCTTGGATTTTCTCTCTGATCACAGGACAGTAGTGTGTTGCGCCCATATAATGAAAAGAATGTGATACTTAAGTTTTGATAGGAATAGAACAGACAATGTACAGCCTCCGGCTGTTTTTTTAGATGACATTTTATTGATAATTGCAGGAAATAGTGAAACAATTAAAAAAGGTTGAATTTTATTTTACTTTATAAAATAACAACTACAAAACTGCATTCTTTTGTGTTTTTTCAAGTTATTCAAATAACCTATCACAACAAAGAGTGATTTTACTACATAACCTGCAAATCATAAAACAACATAGAAACAAAAATCCCAGGCCCGGCAAAAATATGATTTTTGGATATAAGTAGCAAATATTTTAAAGTTTGTTAACGCCGGGCCCAAGATTGTATGGAATCACGTTCATCTCCTTTGCAGGAGAGCTAATTTACTATTTTTGCATTACTATTTACCTCTTAATAAGAATTAATGAACACATTATGAGATATTTCTGATATTATTTGTTAAATTAATGGTTTGGGCTTTTTAAGATGTGTAGTCATTTTAATTTAAAATATTCTATAATTATTTTTTATAATCATTATAATTTTTATAGTAACACTTTTGCATTAATTATTTTTTCAATTATGGTTCAATTATGTAAAGTTAGTATTTTTTTTTAATAATAAAACGTTACCCCCACACTAGGATTTTCTCCTGTATCGTGGAGGTAGTTTACAAACACAAATTTCACAAGCACAAACATCCAGACCCGGAACAATCATTTGTAGGCCATACAAATACTTGTTCCGTGCGGGATTCGAACCCGCGCCCCCCAGCGCAGCAATTCATTGCTAAGCCACTGCGCCACGGAGCCGTCACATAAAAACAATTTTGCTATATTTATGATATAATTCTAGCTATTATATGAACTGTTAAATATATTTCACAGGTATATTATGCACAGGTCATTTAAAACATAATAATTCAAATCAATATTTGTTTATGCCCAAAATTGGTCATTTTGAACGCCATCCAATCGCGTTCGAGCTGGCGCGTCACCCGATGGTATGTAGGTGAGGTAAACGCCGCCAGGTGGGGCGGCCGTGTGCGGCTTGCAGTGGCTCGACGCGTCGGCGAAGAAGAAGAGTAGCTCGCTGGCCGCAATGTGGTGAATCCGCGTATCTCGGTTATCGCGGCAGAAGTTCACGTGACCGGTAGGGTCCAGATGGTTAGATTTAGTACGTGTTACTTCGCTACGTGGATATGT